GGAAAGGGGGGTTGGCTTCTATTTATAAAGAGTGTCTACCCATCACAGGTCAATAGTTAATGGGCCTCACTTATCCACACACACAATATTTAATATTAGACCTTTTATTTATCCACCACTTGGGCCACGTCTCCTTTCAGGCTATAACCAATTAACGTAAGTCCAAATTCCAACATTCTCCCACTTGGACACCAAGGTTAATTGAGGACAAGAAAATAATTTTAAAACTTTTGAGTTTTAAGAAAATCATTTTGAAAAAATATTTTAGACTCACACCACTCACATAGCCAATGATAAAATGACCCATATAACAATCCATCCAGTCTCAATAGAGAAGACTAACAATGAATCGTAACAGGCATCACACCATTTTAAGGTGTGAATTCTATTTACGACCACATATGCTAGAATTTCCATCAACATGGATCAAACATGTGTGCTAAGCATATTATCTTTCTAATCAAGGTGAATAGATTCACACCTCTTAGAAAAAAATAATCCTCCAAGTGATATAATAAGCATATCACATCAGGAGCCTCCAAATTAAATGACATTAAAATCATATCACCTTAGGAGGTGTCCCTTGTGCCTTACCCGGGATAATAAAGGCAACAAGCAGCAAAACTCAAAGATATCATGAGTTTATGCAATACCCAATTAGAAATGGAAAATAAATAAATTATCATGTTAGTCAATAAGCATAACAAATATAAAATAACACAAGCTTGCATAAAATTAGAATTTATTAAAAGCAATATCTCTGTCAGCAGCTGCAAAATAACTCCCACTGACTAAAGCACATCAAAAGACTCTTAAATTCCCATGTTTTAGCATGTTCATTAAAAACTACAGGCCTAAGACCTTTAGTCAAAGGATCAGCCAACATAGATTCTAATATGCTCAATACGTATATCACGTTCTGATGGACCCGGACTTTGCATTGATTGAACAGAAACCTGCTGAACCTACAACTACTTGCACTGCTGATGAAAAGGCTAAGTATGAGAAATAGATGAAGGCTAACAAATTGAGCCTTATGATCATAAAGAGATCCATTTCTGATCACATAAAGGGTGCAATTAAGGATAATGGAAATGCAAAAGATTTTGTGAGTGCCATTGGACAGAAATTCCTAGAATCTGATAAAGCTGAGATAGGTAGCCTGATTGATTCCCTGTCCACCATAGACCTTGTAGGTAGTGTCCGTGATCATATTATGAAATTGGTTAACATTGCTATCAAACAGAACAATTAAGGTGTAACCATTACCGATGATTTTCTTGTTCACCAATCTCTAAGGTCCCTTCTTGAGCAGTTTAACCAACTTAAGACAACCTATAATGCACAAAAAGATAAGTGGAGTGTTGATGGGCTTATTACTGTTTGTGTGGTAGAGGAAGGGAGGATCCAAAAGGAGAAAGTTGAGGGTGTAGTGAACTTTGTTAGTTCGTCTAGATCAACTTATTATCCCGCTTATAAAAGAAAAAGTGGACCCAAATTTCACAAAAGGAAACATTGCCAATCTCATCATCCAGGTGGTAATAGTGGTCATACTAATAAGCCTGGTGTTAACCAAGGTCAGTCTCATAATCCTCTTGGTCCTCAAGCTCTAATTAAGAAAGAAATCAAGTGCTGGGATTGCAAACAAGTAGGCATAAGAAAGCTGGCTGTCCTCTGAAAAAGAAATCGGGTAATCTTTTGGCTTTTGTATGCTTTGAAACTAGTCTTGTTCATGTTTCTTTAAATTCCTGGTGGTTGGATAGTGGTGCAACTGTTCATGTAACCAATGACTTGCAGGATCTAGTAAGCAGACGGAAGCCAAAAGAGGATGAAGCCAGTGTTGTTGTGGGAAATGGACTCAAAGCAAAAATGGAGTTTATAGGGACATCTATTTTACCTTTTAAAAATAATTCTAGTATTCGTTTAGAAAATACTGTTTTTGTACTGTCTATGACACGGAAATTAATTTTGGTTTCCCTTTTGGACAAAGCTGGATATTCATTTCAACTTCATTTTTCGGACATTGATCTTTACTAATTTATCCCCTTTTACAACAGGTGCAACACCAGGTCTACAATCTTGCATATTGAAAGTTTTAAGAACACTCTCAATGTAGGAACGTTGTGATAAACCCAATAAACCACGTGACATGTCTCTTTTAATTTCTATCCCAAGAACAAAAGAGGCTTCACAAGATCTTTCATATCAAAAGACCTAGACAAAAATTGTTTGGTCTCATTCATCAAGCCCAAATCATTTGTGGCAAGCAGAATATCATCAACATAGAGAACCATAATAATGAAACTACCATTAGCTATTTTAAGATAAACACATTCATCAAACTTATCTTCCACAATCCACTAGCTAAGCGCTCTCACATCCCGGAGAACTTGACTGATGAGACGTCTACTGTTATCACGTCTTCAAGAAGCAGAATACGCTAGGGTTTTCTAATAGCTAGGGAAAGGGGGGTTGGCCTCTATTTATAAAGAGTGCCTACCCATCACATGCCAATAGTTATTGGGCTTCACTTATCCACACGCACAATATTTAATATTAGGCCTTTTATTTATCCACCACTTGGGCCACGTCACTATCGATTCAGGCTATAACCAATTAACGTAAGTCCAAATTCCAACATGTTAATCCTGCTATTTATAGCCCTACTTAGGGGGACAAGATTCTCAAAATCAAGCTCCTCTTGAATGAGAATAAAATCGCGGGTGCATAACGGTTGGCTTTAAATGCAGATATTCTCTGTAGCGGCTGTCCTATAAATGTTACCCGATGATAATGCGGCAAATCTTTGTTATTGGTTGTTCTGTCTTCGGGGCTTGTTCGGCGGTGATCGCTAGCTGCTTGCAACTAGTGACAGTTGTTTGCTGACTTATATCCCACCTGTTTTCGGAGCCACGTGTCACACCGTCATTTGCCCAGTTATCATCAACCGGTTTTACCCCATACATTTTGTTCTGATTAATATAAACGTTTTTCTTTTGTTAGTTACCTTCTTCGTTCTTTCTTGTATGTTGTGTCCTTTGGAGCTAGCCAGAAGTGCAAATAGAATATAGGCTCTGGATTAGAAGCATTAGAATATTGAGTAATCCACTCTGTTTGGAGCTATAAATGATTGTACGGAAATGACAATTGTAAAAGGGAAGGAAACTGTGCAGCAGTTGCATTGCCACTCTGGCTGAATAATATACACGCTTAGTAAGCTTCCCTTTTTATGTACATAATATTTACATAGTCAGTGTAGCTTAACCTGTAAAATTGATTAGTGAATGTTTTTATCAACTTCTTTGTTTGCTTTATGTATATAGTATCCAAAACCTACTGACTCTATTAATCCGGATTCGCATCGCGTAAAGTAGGGGTGTACAAAGGAAATCGAAAAACCGCATCAAACCGATAATCCGAGTCAAACCGAGAAAAAAACCCGACTAAGGTTTGGTTTGATTTGGTTTAGTGTTAGAAAAACAAAACCCGATCATAATTGGTTTGGTTTGATTTTAACTAAAAAAAGCCAAACCGAAACCAAACCAACCGGACATTACATGTATACAAGTTTTAAAATATTTATACATAAAAATAATTATTGTAATGTAATTTATAAATATATTTTAATCTTTTTTATAGTTCTCTCTTTTAATGTATTATCAGCTTTGATTTAGAACTTTTGAATGCTCAAATATGTTTTATAGGCCATAAAAGTTAGTGACTCAAATAAATTCCAAAGCAAAATCAAATCAATAAAAATGTTAACAAAAAAATTTCAATTCAATACTAGGAATCACAATAGTATTGGATATTTATTTTCTTAATTTTTCATTACTTTAGATGGTGAAAATACATAACTTACTTTTAATATTATTTAGTCATGTATTCAATACTTAGTACTTATTAGTCGTACTTATTTTAACATGATTTAGTACTTTTAGATTATATTTATTTTTATTATGGCTTATTAATTAGTAATGTTTATTTTATGCGATTTGTTGACTATTTTAGTACAATCGTGACTCATCTCATATTATTTTGCATTATTTTATTGGTAACATCTTATATAGTTTAATCATACTAGGACCTAAGAAAACAAATTATAAATTTTATGCTATGAAGATTTTGTCGAAAAAACCCAAAAAACCCGAAAAATCGAAAAACCCGAGAAAAACCGAGATTGAAAAACCCGACTTTTGTTGGTTTGGTTTGGTTTATAAATTTAAAAATCCGAAACAATTGGTTTGATTTGGTAATTGAAAAACCCGAACCAACCCGATCCATGTACACCCCTAGCGTAAAGTAATACTAAATAAGAAAGCACTTTCTATCAGGAGTTTCCCATTTACAAGGCTCAACCGAGACTTTTGGTTAACGGTAAAAGAATCTCATCCATCCGTTCATCTTTAGTAGTCTACCTTAACTGCGTTACGAATTAATATTTCTCATGGAGATTCACTTATGATTGCCTTTAAGTGACCTAATTGTAGAAATATTTTTTATCCCATTAGCACATACAACTTGGAACTCTATATATAGATGCTCTTTCCTAGTCAGTGAGCAACTGAGAATTAAACACAAGCACCTCTTTCCCTTTCCCCCTTCAAAAACCCTTTCTTTTCTTTCCCAAGATCCAAGCAGTGGCATTTGGCTTTCTCATTTCATTCTACTATACATCATATGCTCATAATTCTTATTCCTGTTCATGTCAATGTGATCCTTCTTTGCTTGTTTTCTACATTCTTCCCGAGTTCATCTTTTTTTTTTTTCCGGATTTAACTATTTAGTATTAGAACTCTACTATCCTGATTAATTCAGATTACATAAAGTCAGTAAAGGAGGTAATATACACTACCTACCAAGAAGTTAAATACTTCAATTTGCCAGTTCCTTCATCTTCATCTTCATCTTCATCTTTTTGAGGTTTTAAACTCAGTTTCATACTCCATTTCTCCGTTTTACTATCTTATTCCCATTAATAGTTTAATTCCAAGAGAAAAATGTCTTTTTGCGAAAACCCCACAAAAACAAATGAAAGGCCTCAACATAGACGAAAAACGCCATCATTTTCATCCTCTCTATTGGAAGCCATTTACCTTTCAATTGATGAACCAGAAGAAGTAGCAGAAGAACAAAGGCAAGAAGAGAACTCTTTTCCTTATAAAAGAAACAATACCATAGAAGAAGCTGAAGAAGAAATTGCCAATCTCCGAAGAGCAATCATGATTGAAAAATGGTTGAAAAATTACAACAAATATATTCAAAGCTCAGTACACTTCAATTCAGAGTCAAGCAAATTTTCTTCCTCTGAAATAGGGTCAACTCCAAAATATGAAGGGGGATTCATCATGAGAACTAAGTTAAGAGCTTTGAAGATCTATAGTGACTTGAAAAAGGTGAAACAACCAATTTCACCAGGTGGGAAAATCGCAAACTTCTTGAATTCGCTATTCAATTCAAGAAACATGAAGAAAAATCATCAAGATTTAACTATGTCAAGATCCTCTTGTTTGAATAAACCACCTTCATCTAGAGGTAATAAATCAAATAGGTGCGTTAGCTTTTGCCCTGTTAGTATAATTATTAATGAGAATGATGAGTCAAGAATCAAGTTAAGGAGCAAGATTATGAAGAATTCCATCAATGGGTACAGAAATATTGAAGAGAAACATTTTAATGAGTATCAATTTAGAGGATTTCACAATGCAAAAGGTGATTATGATGCTGAAGAATATGAAGATGATAATAGGAGTTGTGCAAGTTCTGATCTGTTTGAGCTTGAGAATATTGGTATGCTTGGTGTTCATGCAACTAGAGATGACTTGCCTCTATATGGGACAACTATTTTGAAAAGGATTTAAGTTATATATACAAGTGTACGATTTTTTATCGTAGATTTAACATGTGATAGTATGTTAATTATTAACATTTTAATGTATTGCTTAGTATTTACAAAATTTATCATAGAAATTTACTTGTATACATAATAGTGCAAATATCTTTTTGCGTGAAAGGCCACATTTTTAGAACTATTCAATAGGCATTATTCATTGGTTAGACTTCACACATGTTATAAACAATTAATTGAAGCGTGCGATAAAAAATGATAAAATCAACTACAACTAGACGATTATGGATGGTTGAAGTGCGCTTAAATTCATCTACAACTAAAAGGGCATGGCGATTTCGCCACCAATTCATCTTAGCTTCAAGGCCATGGTCTTACTGCATAAACTTTTTGCATTAAAAATTAAAGGAGCTAGGTGAGAAAGACCTTAAAACCATGTCAGGCTGGTCTACCTTATTTACATAGTTTAAACTCTAACTGGATAATCGAATTCAGTATTTAAACTTAATTAATGAGTTTAAAATTCTAAACTATTGAAAACTTTCAGACTGTAATATTTATACTATTTTTCAAGAATTTTCGCACACACATGCGCGTGTATGCGTTATATATGTTGAGGGTTCAATTGAATTCACTCCCGACACTCTAGATCTGCTTCTAGCTTTAAGAAGTAGTTATAGCTTCGAATCTTATCATATGATGTTAGGAGAGGTTAAGACGTCGATACCAACTAGATTAGCTTTCTTCACTTTAATCAACTAATTTGTTTTCGAAATCTGCTTTATTTAAAATAATATATAATCCTAAGCTTTACCTACGGAGAAACTATTTATGTATATCTTTCTATAAAGACAATGCGTTGAGTATCACCATATGCAATAATGATATGTATCTTTTGGGTTCTAGCAAAAAAAGCTTTTCTTTTTCTCTTTTTGAGATGTTTCGTTTGGGTATTACTTTATCAAGGTACAAGAGAGAATATGAATCAATGATTACCACAATGTTTATGTATAGCTATTTGAAATGATTGAAGTTATTGGAATAGGAAGTGTTGCATGCTCGCATGGTATATATATATATGGAGTCCAACTTTTGGCTTCCCCAATAGATGATTGAGAATATAAGTGAATATTTATTTTTTTTGGTTTTTTATCTGGTGTTTGATATCTATTTTGGGGCTCAACTAATTTAGATTTGCATAAGAAAATTCCACAATGAGGATCGGGGGAGGGAGTAAAGCGCTTGAACCCGAGACCTCTGGTTAAAGATGGAGGAGTACTTACCACTCTATCAGAAGCGGACCTAGAATTTGAAGGTGGCGGGGGCGCATGAGCGGACTGCTCAACCAGTGCCTCCTCGGACTTTTGATTTTAAGGGTTCCAAGCAAAATATATAACCGTTTTCAACATACATACATACATACATACATACATACATACATACATACATACATACATATATATATATATATATAGACCCTCTGCTCTTTTGACTGGAAGAAGGCAATACTTAATTGAGTATAAAAACCTAATACGGGAGAATACTATAACATATAATAATGTACATAAATTCAGGAACACGAACATCTCTTTATGCGACGTTTTCAAACACCTTTAGTTAAGGGATCATGCAAAAATAAAGGAAAGGTTTAGCCTTAATATACTTTAACCCCATTGAGTCCTTAATACCTTCCAAGCAACTGTTCAAACGACTCAACTTAATCTACAATAGAATGAGGAGATTCGTAATCACTACTAAGTAAGGGCTATATCTGTAACTTAAGGTAGTAGCTCGCTTACGTAAATAGAGAGAGAATGCAACGTGTCCACACCGTCATTTGCCCAGTTATCATAACCGGTTTTACCCCCATACATTTTGTTCTGATAAATATAAACGTTTTTCTTTTGTTAGTTACCTTCTTCGTTCTTTCTTGTATGTTGTGTCCTTTGGAGCTAGCCAGAAGTGCAAATAGAATATAGGCTCTGGATTAGAAGCATTAGAATATTGAGTAATCCACTCTGTTTGGAGCTATAAATGATTGTACGGAAATGACAATTGTAAAAGGAAGGAAACTGTGCAGCAGTTGCATTGCCACTCTGGCTGAATAATATACACGCTTAGTAAGCTTCCCTTTTTATGTACATAATATTTACATAGTCAGTGTAGCTTAACCTGTAAAATTGATTAGTGAATGTTTTTATCAACTTCTCTTTGTTTGCTTTATGTATATAGTATCCAAAACCTACTGACTCTATTATCCGGATTCGCATCCGCTAAAGTAGGGTGTACAAAGGAAATCGAAAAACCGCATCAAACCGATAATCCGAGTCAAACCGAGAAAAAAACCCGACTAAGGTTTGGTTTGATTTGGTTTAGTGTTAGAAAAACAAAAACCCGATCATAATTGGTTTGGTTTGATTTTAACTAAAAAAAGCCAAACCGAAACCAAACCAACCGGACATTACATGTATACAGTTTTAAAATATTATACATAAAAATAATTATGTAATGTAATTTATAAATATATTTTTAATCTTTTTTATAGTTCTCTCTTTTAATGTATTATCAGCTTTGATTTAGAACTTTTGAATGCTCAAATATGTTTTATAGGCCATAAAAGTTAGTGACTCAAATAAATTCCAAAGCAAAATCAAATCAATAAAAATGTTAACAAAAAAATTTCAATTCAATACTAGGAATCACAATAGTATTGGATATTTATTTTCTTAATTTTTCATTACTTTAGATGGTGAAATACATAACTTACTTTTAATATTATTTAGTCATGTATTCAATACTTAGTACTTATTAGTCGTACTTATTTTAACATGATTTAGTACTTTTAGATATATTTTATTTTTATTATGGCTTATTAATTAGTAATGTTTATTTTATGCGATTTGTTGACTATTTTAGTACAATCGTGACTCATCTCATATTATTTTGCATTATTTTATTGGTAACATCTTATATAGTTTAATCATACTAGGACCTAAGAAAACAAATTATAAATTTTATGCTATGAAGATTTTGTCGAAAAAACCAACAAAAAACCCGAAAAATCGAAAAACCCGAGAAAAACCGAGATTGAAAAACCCGACTTTTGTTGGTTTGGTTTGGTTTATAAATTTAAAAATCCGAAACAATTGGTTGATTTGGTAATTGAAAAACCCGAACCAACCCGATCCATGTACACCCTAGCGTAAAGTAATACTAAATAAGAAAGCACTTTCTATCAGGAAGTTTCCCATTTACAAGGCTCAACCGAGACTTTTGTTAACGGTAAAAGAATCTCATCCATCCGTTCATCTTTAGTAGTCTACCTTAACTGCGTTACGAATTAATATTTCTCATGGAGATTCACTTATGATTGCCTTAAAGTGACCTAATTTGTAGAAATATTTTTTATCCCATTAGCACATACAACTTGGAACTCTTATATAATGCTTCTTTCCTAGTCAGTGAGCAACTGAGAATTAAACACAAGCACCTCTTTCCCTTTCCCCTTCAAAAACCCTTTCTTTCTTTCCCAAGATCCAAGCAGTGGCATTTGGCTTTCTCATTTCATTCTACTATACATCATATGCTCATAATTCTTATTCCTGTTCATGTCAATGTATCCTTCTTTGCTTGTTTTCTACATTCTTCCCGAGTTCATCTTTTTTTTTTTTCCGGATTTAACTATTTAGTATTAGAACTCTACTATCCTGATTAATTCAGATTACATAAAGTCAGTAAAGGAGGTAATATACACTACCTACCAGAAGTTAAAATACTTCAATTTGCCAGTTCCTTCATCTTCATCTCATCTTCATCTTTTTGAGGTTTTAAACTCAGTTTCATACTCCATTTCTCCGTTTTACTATCTTATTCCCATTAAATAGTTTAATTCCAAGAGAAAAATGTCTTTTGCGAAAACCCCACAAAAACAAATGAAAGGCTCAACATAGACGAAAAACGCCATCATTTTCATCCTCTCTATTGGAAGCCATTTACCTTTCAATTGATGAACCAGAAGAAGTAGCAGAAGAACAAAGGCAAGAAGAGAACTCTTTTCTTATAAAAGAAACAATACCATAGAAGAAGCTGAAGAAGAAATTGCCAATCTCCGAAGAGCAATCATGATTGAAAAATGGTTGAAAAATTACAACAAATATATTCAAAGCTCAGTACACTTCAATTCAGAGTCAAGCAAATTTTCTTCCTCTGAAATAGGGTCAACTCCAAAATATGAAGGGGATTCATCATGAGAACTAAGTTAAGAGCTTTGAAGATCTATAGTGACTTGAAAAAGGTGAACAACCAATTTCACCAGGTGGGAAAATCGCAAACTTCTTGAATTCGCTATTCAATTCAAGAAACATGAAGAAAAATCATCAAAGATTTAACTATGTCAAGATCCTCTTGTTTGAATAAACCACCTTCATCTAGAGGTAATAAATCAAATAGGTGCGTTAGCTTTGCCCTGTTAGTATAATTATTAATGAGAATGATGAGTCAAGAATCAAGTTAAGGAGCAAGATTATAAAGAATTCCATCAATGGGTACAGAAATATTGAAGAGAAACATTTTAATGAGTATCAATTTAGAGGATTTCACAATGCAAAAGGTGATTATGATGCTGAAGAATATGAAGATGATAATAGGAGTTGTGCAAGTTCTGATCTGTTTGAGCTTGAGAATATTGGTATGCTTGGTGTTCATGCAACTAGAGATGACTTGCCTCTATATGGGACAACTATTTTGAAAAGGATTTAAGTTATATATACAAGTGTACGATTTTTTATCGTAGATTTAACATGTGATAGTATGTTAATTATTAAACATTTTAATGTATTGCTTAGTATTTACAAAATTTATCATAGAAATTTACTTGTATACATAATAGTGCAAATATCTTTTTGCGTGAAAGGCCACATTTTTAGAACTATTCAATAGGCATTATCATTGGTTAGACTTCACACATGTTTTAAACAATTAATTGAAGCGTGCGATAAAAAATGATAAAATCAA